AAAAAGAAAAATCCTAGTCATCGACATAATAAAAACCACACGGAGGAGAGGTCCATTCTCTGCGTCTGGTTATGCACTTGGGATGCTGGTTGAGCCGGCAAGGACGATGGAAGGACCGACCGACCGTCGCTGGGGGCCTGGGGACCGAGCGCCATCTGCACACAATTACAGCCAGCGCAGGAGGAGTTCTTCCCAAGATGGGAGCCCGCTGACCATAACGCAGAGCAGACGGGCCGTTCCTTAACATGCACATCACAAGACTACTGCACATGATAATTAAAGAGATTTTTAAACGGAGGAATTTCAGCTGACAGTGCCCTGATGCTCATCATGTCCGATTAAGGCTGTTGGTAGCTGAATGACATTCACGTTTATTAAAGCCTTAGTGGGAGGGGACTCGGATGCTTGGGTTTGCTTCCAGTGAGTCCAGGTTACTGCAGCGGCCGGAGTATTGGCTGTGGCTGCATTTACACTAGAGGATTATACCCGGGGGAGCCAGGATGGGTTTGGAAGGGGGAGGGTATAGCTCAGCGGTAGAGCGCACGCTTAGCATGCACGAGGTCCTGGGTTCAATCCCCGGTACCTCCTCTACAAATAAATAAACCTAATTACCCCCGCCCCCGAAAAAGATGGGCTTGGAAGTCTCAGAGAGAGTGCTCTATGAGTTTAAGGAACTAACCAGTCTTCCTCTCTTTAAGAAGTAAACGTACGTCTGAGTCATATGACTATCTGTGCTAGAGAAGGTGGCGCTTAATAACCTGCGAAAGTCCTCCCCTTTCCTAGGAGAACCTTGAGCAGAGAGGGGTGTACTGTTGTTGCAAGGACTTGCATCAGTGTTCTGGTGTCTTTTTTTTTTTTAATTGAAGTACAGTCAGTTACAATGTGTTAGTCTCTGTTGTACAGCAGTGTCCCAGTCATGCATATACATACATATATTTGTTTTCATATTCTTTTTCATTAAAGATTATTATAAGATATTGAACACAGTTCCCTGTGCTATACAGGAGAAATTTGTTTTACGTCTGTTTTTACATATAGTGGCTAACATTTGCAAATCGCAAACTCCCAGATGTATCCCTTCTCACGCCCTCTTCCCCTATAACCACTTACTTCTCCAGCTGTGTTCTTGACAGATGACTGAGAAGGGTTAGGCCGTTCCTTCAGCCAACACTTCTACACCATTTGCTCTTGCAGCATGCTCTCTCCGAGGACACCGTGAGGTGTGGGGAGGGAGGAGACACGTTTCTTGACCTCTGGGTCTGTAGCTTCGTGGGGAAGACAGACAGCATTAAACCAGCTTATTGCGGCCAGAGGCGGTGAAATGCACGTTTTGACAGTTACAGGTTAAATGTTGAAGAGCTGGACGGAAGAATGGAGCCTTTATTTCCAGTTGGGAGGTTTACGGAAAGTGGCTCTTAAGGGTGGCCTTCGGACTGAGCCAGGAAGTGTCCAAGGGTCTGTAGTCAGAAAATAGAGGGAAAGACATTTCAGAGTGAAAAAAGCAATCACATAAACAGGCCGTGGCAGTAGGAAGTCGCTGGCAGTGAGTTTCTGGGAAAGCTGGGTGGGTCTAAAGGTAGGGTGTGCAATGAACATACAACGTACCAGGAGGTCAACTGAAAGATAATGGGGAGTAGCTTATGAAGATGGGTGCCTTGAGGGAGATACAGAGACGTTCCCCTTTGTCCTACAGAAAATGGGATGCAGTTGAGTGTTCAGGGAAGGTAAAGGACAGCCTCCTCTTTTACTTTAGGAAAATAACCACAAATATTGTGCAGAGGGAATTAGAAAAGAGATGGACTTGCAGGGAGATGGGTTGGAAGCCTATCGTGAGAGTCCAGACAGGAGAGGAAAGTGCCTAGAACAGGTGGTCGCCATGGAGACAGACTTAGGGATTCCTGGAAGGATGCTGTGCAGTGTGGATGATGGTAGGTGCAGGAACAAGACGACATGGTTCTCCATAGAGCCTAGAGTTGCAGTGACGATGCATCACCGGGGAGGGGGCACGTGCTGGGGAGGGGCACCTGAGATGGGACTTGTGCAGGTGGACGGGGGCGGGGCGAGGGGGCGGCAGCCCAGAGAGGGACAGGGGATAGATTTGAGAGACCCTTGCTTAGCAGCAATATTCAAGTCATGAAGGTGTTACTGTAAGATTATGCACCGAGAAGAAAAGTTTGCAACCCAAGTTTGAGAACACTCACGCAGGGCCTCACACAACAGGACCAGAGACAAACGGAAGTCCCAGGGCAACCAGGAACAGCAGAGACATTAGAACCAGGACGTCCCAGGGATTTTCGGAGCTGTGAAAACCACTTCTTTTCTCTCCCTTCCTAAGTGGCTTTTCCTAATTCGAAAATGTGGAGAGAAACATAAAATTCAGAGAGAAACTGGAGATTGGGTCATAGCTCCAAGCAATTTATTTGATCTTCCTCAGACTCCATTCCCTGGTGTTCCAAATGTAGATACGTAACCCCTCACCCGCTTCATGAAGGCACAGGAAGGACTGGGGGAGGCAAGTTTACGGTGAAGGAAAGGCAACGTATATACAGACATCGCCTGTCGGCAAATCAAAGTGGAGGCTGCTACTGGTCGGGGGACTGTAGTTCTCTGGAGAAGAGGTTTTAAAAGTCAGTGAGCTTTTGGGCAGATGTACAGACGCCATTTTAAAATTATCCAACCCCTCAGTGTTTAATGACTTTAAGATTTCATAAGACTGAGCCTGAACGAAGTTCAAAGTGAAACGAGTTGACATTCAGCCGCACCGCTAATGTGCATCAGCTCTTAGGTAGAGTCTGTATTTGCACGTGTCCCCATTTCCTTGGTTTAAACTTAAGAAGTGGAGAAAGAAACGCAGCCTCCTGAAGCAGCCATTGCAAATGAGTTGTCAGTGGTTTAGGCAGACGCTCGTTCTCAGCAGAAAGTGATTTCATCAGCCACTGGGGCTCCTGGTTCTGATGGCAGTGAACATCACGGTACCACAGGCCCTACCGAAGTCGGTTAGTTTTATATGTCCTGTTAGTATGAGACGTTTGTTTCAAAGTTTCCTTTCCATAATGGCTACGATTTTGAACCACGGTTCTTAAATCTTGCAGTCACCAGGCAACTTGCACGCACTGTCAGGGGAAAAAGGAATCAAAATGATTAACTACTTTCAGATGAGACACCTGTGAGGGACTTTTGAAGCCAGGCACTCAGGCGTGCCAAAACCAAACATTATAAATTCATCATTTTCCAATTTTAAATGGTAAGTCTGTCGGGAGGGCCCCAGCAGTCACTGGGGAACCCACAAGACCCAGGCTTTGGAAATTGTTCTCATGAGACTTGACCCTGTGAGACGGGTGGGCTTTGTAATGTTTACCTTGAAAGGAAAACTCCCCGAGGTGGGAAGGATGGCAGACTCAGGACCGGTGTCACAACGACCCTGGGGTCCATCGGTAGGGATGGAGCCCGTAAGTGGGAAAAAGGACTGGCAGCTCTCCATGACACTTGCTCGTGGGAGTTCCCTGTCAGCCTCCCGTGGGGCAGCTTGGTAACATGACTGATTCAGAAGACTGCACGTAAAGGAGTTGTCAAGCTTACTGGGGAGACAGAAACTCGTCCAGAATCAGGACTCGATTCAGACCCTCTAAAGAAATGGGAAAGTGAAACGGAACTTAGTGTCAGAAGATCTCAAAGGTGACGCCTTGAGACGGAGAAGCCGCTTTTCTGAAACAGGATCAGTTGTCATTAGACGGGATCTGCCTCTTCTGTAGATTTTTCTCCCTCAAGTGTCACCTCCATTGTGAGTCCCTTGCGGCTGGTTTTCACTGGCGTGGTTCTGTTTCAGGTGTCCCCCTGAAGCCCAGGAAAGAGTTACGATTTACGGAGCTGCAGTCTGGACAGCTGGAGATTAAGTGGTCCTCGAAGTTCAACATTTCCATCGAGCCTGTGATCTACGTGGTGCAGAGACGGTGGAATTATGGGATCCATCCGAGCGAAGACGATGCCACACACTGGCAGACAGTAGCCCAGGTCAGTGCTTCGTGGGCCTTTTTGTTCCCTTGCAGTAGTGTCTCCCACACAGCTGCAGAGAGAAGATTAATTCGCTCTGTCTCTGTCAGCATAGTGTGACTGCCAAAATAATTTAATCTGGCGTGGACCATCGTGCTGTCGGCGGAAGACAGGGTGAGCTCCATACGTGAACCCAGTACCACTAGAACTTGACTGTTGGCTTAAGTTACCCACAGTGCAATCAGAAGGGAGATAATTTTTTTATCTGAGCGTTCACATTTATTTCTGCCCAGAACCACGTGCCCTTGAGATAAACTTAAACCCATCCAAACTGAGGGAAATGCAACACCCAGAGTGCTGGTTCATGTGACACCTGATCACCTGAACGACTTCCCCGGTTTTTCTCCTACATCTAAGCCTGTGCTCCACACAGGGCTTCGGGGCGTGGGGTAACAGCCGTATCCCAGAAGGGCTTACCGGGAAGGAGCCAGTGGCTCATAAACCTTCTCTAAGTGCCCCCTCCTTCATCCGAGTCAACTTACCAACAGGCAGGCCACCTGGATGGCAGCCCCCCATGGTGTATCTTCCAGGGCGTCTTCCTCTTCTGTCTTGTGGATTCGAAAAGCAAAATATTTACTTTCGTTTTAAGAGCTGTTCAGTGGACTGCCAGCTGCCAAAAAACGCCACGGATGGGGAAAAGGGAGAAACTCTCAATATGGAACTATTTCATGCTTTTCAACAACTAAAATGCCTTCTCCACGTGTATCCGTAGAGGGAAAAATCCTCTCCTCTCGGTGATCAGATCATCCTTCCCCAAGGATGAGATTCCCATGATTTTTTTTCAGTAAATATAAAATAAATTTCAGTGTTGAGATGTTTGGAAGAGGAATTTAGTCTTTCTTCCAAATGGTAGTATCTCAAAAAAGATAAGCAATAAAGACCTGAAAATAAATGAGAAATTTGACGTTAAAAAGAAAGAGCGTAAATTGACGGGGGGGGGGGGGGGGAATGGTCAAATTTAGTAATTCTATTCTATAACTATTTTGTTAAAAATTTGTGCTTGAATAAAACATAAAGATGTTCAGAATGCAGCCCCAAATTGTACCTAACTTCCATGGTGTGCTCCCTTCAAGGGGGCTACGGAAGTATCACTTATAAATTTCCCAAACGATGGAATTTCCAAATAGGTCCAAAGTTTAAATGGAAAGACGTATGAAAGTAACTGATGGGCAGACCTCCTCCTTCATATCCTCTGTTTAGGAGCGAGAGGGAAGGCCTTGGACTGTTGTTGCTTTATTATTATTCCTGCCTTCACTAGGCGACACCACCTTGTCCTTCCTCGCTCTGTCTGCTCAGTGCTATGGCTGCTGTGCTGACGTGAGCTTCTCAAACTGAAGGCTCCAACTAAGTGAACCAGTTGGTGACCACGTTGTCTCAGATTCTGCCAAATGAGGTAGAAAGCCACGCTCGAGAGTTCATCTTCTTCCTTTGATCTCGGAAACGCTGAGCTTCCTTTGAAAGCTGAAGTACGCAGCACAGCCCTCTTCAGCAAGCTCTAGTGAACTGAGGTTTGGGAGTGTTTCTGCTCACTCCTCCCCAGTGTCACCCACTGAGCACCAGGTAGAGTTTGGCACTAGGCACAGGTGGGGCCGTGTGCCGGCATTCATTCCCTGGAGTCGAGGCGAAGGTTCCAGATCTCCTGTAGGACGTGGTTGGCACCGGGTGTGTGGGCCCTGAGCTGGATGAAGTCAGGCAGTGGGAAGACCATTAACATTACCTGGTATCTTGGGACGCAGCAGCAGAGACAGCAAACGCTGTGGGCCATTCCCAGAGTCCAGTTTTCTTCCTTGGACATATACTGGACAAAGAGATATTAACAGACCTCACCCTGTAGGAACATGACTGGATCCTTGCAGATCTTACATGATTTGCTCAAATTCAAAGACAGAAAAGTCTAGGGCGGCAGTGTGCTTCCAGAACTGAAATGTGTGGGTTCGCGTACCTACTTACAGGATTAAATTTGGCACGCCAGTAGGAGGCCTTCCTTCTACGGTGTAGAGATGATTTCATTTTCTCTCTAATGTCATGATTACTTCATATATTTATTCATTTCTGTGTGTCATTGATTGATGTAATCCTCAAATGCTGTTTTTAGTCGCTGGATTTAAAAACAGCCCAAGCAATCCTCAGAAGACCTTGCCTTCCAGAGATCTTTAACTCTTTCGGATGAAAGACCTAGGAATGGAACTTAGCAGTTGAAACCTTCCTGACAACTCTCTGATGACTAGTGGGATTGGCTGCAGGTATCCAGGCGTGTGGGAGAGGTCACGGCTGTGTTGCACCGGCGGATGAGTTAGAGTGTTTCTAAAACAGACCTGATGGGCACGTCAGGATAAAAGGGTTCTCTGTGCTCTGTCCCCTCAGACCACGGATGAGCGGGTCCAGCTGACCGACATACGGCCCAGCAGGTGGTACCAGTTCCGAGTGGCTGCCGTCAACGTGCACGGGACCCGGGGCTTCACAGCCCCCAGCAAACACTTCCGCTCCTCCAAAGGTCAGTCCCATCCCGACTGTCCTCTGCCTCCCGCGCACACCTGGGGACACATTCATCACGTCTCCAAGTTCAGATTTACAGCTGGCCAACAGGTGGCTTTGCCATTCTCAGCAGAGGGAACCAGATGTGTTTGAAGGTACCGTGTGAATTTATGGTCAGGACCGTCACTGGGCCTTTACCTCTGAGAGACTGCAGGAGGCGACAGGATGGGTTTTCTCAACGTGGAATTGACGGTTTTCCACGACCAGCTTCCCCTGGGTCTCTCAGGATATTCTGCCTCTGGCACCACTCAGTTAATTTTTGGAGGAAAGGTTTAGTTTCTGCTGCATCAGACTGTACAGGTTTCTTGAAACAGCTGCCAAATTGAGTGTGAATTAATCTCTTTTGTTTCATAACCTCCGGAATTTAAATCCCTCCCGAGCCGCCTTATCATCGCCATCATTTTGTTCGGTGCCTATTTCACTGCTGTTCTGAAGCCTCTGTGGGCTCTGATGAATACTGACAGTGTTACGGGTGGAGTTACTCAGGCAACAGTTGAAGGGCATAATTTGGCTGGACGTTAATAACAGCTCCGTGTTTATTTCTCCAGTTGCGTTGAGACGGCTGTGCGCGTTCTGAATGAGTATGTCTGCTTGGTCATCATCACGGTCCAGTTCCGTGGATGTAAAGCAGTGAGTTAGTCACTAATCAGCATAATCCCCTTACATGGAAGCGAACTTAAATTTATCTCAAACATGAGCTGTGATATTGATGAATAATGTAAGACGTATAATGTCAGTCATATCTTTCAATACAGGAGGGTTTGAACTGGCTGCTGTGACTTGCAATGCCTGTTCCATTTGGGGGAGAATGTATGTTTTCGCTAGTCTGTCCATTCCTTGTTAGATGATAATGTCACCCCTTTCTCTGCATAATCATAGGTCTCAGGTGGAAAACTTGCATCCAGAATAATTTAATATTTGGGTTCTATTGCAGTGTATGTTGTAGATTTTCAAGTCTTTCTTTTAAAGAGTTCTTTTAAGAAAGGGAAAGTGCGTCCTTACCCCACCCCCACTGGGGTGGAGACACTGAGTAAGCCGGAGGGTGAAGTGAAAAACAAGGGTATCCGTCCTTCCCTGTCTGAAGGCTTCCTCCCCGTGGTCTGAGGATTTAATGAATAACTGACGGTGGGTTCAGAGGTGAGAGACGGGGCTTGAGCACTCTTCACCGTGAGTTTCATGGTTCAAACGTGACCCAGGTGTGCTGTGGTCAAATGTGTTGCCACCTGTCCCCCTGCCCACAGGATCTTGTCTGGTGCTTTTTTTTTGATAGAACACACTTTATTCACAAATAAGTCTCCTTAGAGTTAAAAGCAGAGGCAGTGTCTTCCTAGAAAAAAGAAACATGAGAAGGCAACTGCCATTTGATTTTTAAATTGCAGATTAGCTTTTTTGACTAGAAGACCATTCTGAAAATCAGATCAAGGCTGCACATGCAGACGTGAGACAGATGCAGCCCCTGGCCTGTGGGGACAGAGGGTGAATACCTGTGAGAGTTGTGCGGCAGCTGGGCAGAGGTCCTGGGACAGTCCCCAGGGTCAGTCCTGTGACTGCCAGCTGCCAAAGAGTCATCCATCCCGGGGAAGAAGCAGGGCCACGCTGTCCCACCACTCCTGGCGAATCTGAGCACCTCAACCGTCTACAGTTAGAGCTGCAGCCCTCACACTTTCATGGGCTTTGGTGAATGGCTGTGCACCATCTCGGGGAAGTCTTGCAGTCACCATTAAATTGCCTTATTTCTGGCTCTTATTACAAATGCGCCCAACAGTCAGCATTCCAGACTTCAGTTCTTGCACTTTGGGCAAACCAAAAATATATGCCCAGAATTTGTAGTAGATTCTCCCGTTTTCAGTGAAGGAGCCTCACAGAATGATGGGACCGTAGTAGCTCCAACAAAGAGTTGAAGGCGTTTCTTCCAAGGCGTGTCTAACTGTGGACAAGACGGTACCACATCTTTCTTCAGTCAGTTCCTCGGATGTAGAAATGTGTCCTGCTGAGAAAATAATTTCACAACCTTGCTGAGATACAATTTACCTACCATGAAAGTCACTTAAGTGTGGAAGCCAGTGATTTTTAGAATTTACTAGGTCATGTGACCATCACCATCATGCAGTTTTAAAATCCTGCAAAATCTCCCCTGCCTTCCTGGGAGAACTTAAAGGCAGAAACAAAGCGTTATTGAATCTTGTTTTACCACTCATCATTCATTCCCTTTTTTATTAAACAATGTTTACAGTTGAGCACCAACTATGTGTCAGGCACTGTTCTAGGCACCGAGGGCATAAGTGAAAGAAGAGACAGAAATGTCTGCTCCTGTGGAACACAAACACACAGATTGATCCTAACTAGAGGCGAGAGGACACAGTAAACAATCCATAAGATACATGAAATCCTCCCATATAGTTGGGTAGACAGTGATATCTGACTCTGAAAAAAATACGGAACAGAATACAGGAGATGTGTGGAGAGGAGGTTGGTTTTGATTTCTGTAGTTTGGAGGGGGCAGGCAAAGAAAACATGTTTGTATAAAGAAAGTGAAGAGTTGGCTCTGCCACAATCTGAAGGAAGAGCCTTCCCGTTCCAGGAGGTGGCAGATGCAAAGGTCCTGGGGCAGGAGTGGGTGTGCAGGATTCAGAGAGCAGCAGACGAGCTGGAGAGTGGAGCAGAGGAAGATGAGGATGGACAGGAAAGAAGGAGGTGGATTTGCGGGCCTCCATTGTTATTGGTAACAGTGTGGTTCTTCCTGAGTTAGATGGAGAGTGGCTGGGAGATGCTGACGTGATGGCATTTAGATTTCAGTAGGGTTAGGACCACTCAGGCCACTGTGTTGAGGACAGATGAAAGGTGGAGGGTGCTGAGGCAGGGATGCCAGTGGGAGACCAAGGCAGTATTCCTGGTGCGAGACGTTGCTGAGTTGGAGGGCATTATGCCGAGTGAAGTCAGTCAGACAGAGAAAGACAGATACTGAATGGCATCACTTATACGTGGAATCTAAAAAACACAGCCAGCTAGTGGATATAAGAACAACAAAAGATGATGTAACCTGGATAAAGGCAGAAGTGAACTGTCGGGGGAGTACGTGTGGAAAGGGCAATCCGACAGGATCCGGGAATTTGCCAGTGGCTTGCAGGGAGGGCGTGTCTTCAGGGTTCTTTTGTCACCAACCACTGACAGAATGGTGCTGCCAATGACTAAAACAGAGATGCCTGAGACAAGGGTTTAAGGGGAAAACTCTTTCCTTTCCAGGGGGACACACATATTTCCAGAAGAAAAGTCATCCTTTCCAAGTCAGTGTGGCTGCTGAGCTCTGGGGCCTCTTCTGCACACAGGCTTTTCTGAGGGGTGGAGGGACCAACGGGCAGGGCTCTGGACACCCCGTAGGGTTGCAGTCGAGAAACACGAGCGGTAGAACTAGAAGCTGAAGACATAAAAACAAATTGGTTTCTACCATAAAGTCTCCCCAGTAGGGCAGGAAGGATCTTACTGGGGTAATGGAATCATTCTGAAACGGATGATACTGATGGTTGCACAGCGTAGGAAACACTGAAACTCGTTGGCCTGCATGCTTAGGTGCGTGAACTGTACGGTAGGTAAATTATATTTCAATAAGATTGTTCAATTTTTTTGTCCAGCAAGCACTTTTGTATCTTTGTGCCTGTAATGGAGTAAGGTGGGGAGATACATGGTGTACCCTGCTGTGAACGTCTTCCGACGTTGAGCGGATCTGGTACCCTCCCCTCATTTCATGATGCCTCTTCACCGAAACCACAGTAGCATCAATTGTGACCCTCATGCAGTATTTGGTTTCCAGAGCACGGGAACTAAAGTCTGGAAGGCTCCCGGTAGTGAGGTAGATGGAAGGATGGGTGGGGGCTTACCACTTTTTAATGTCACTGCTGTGCTTCCAAAACTGCTGCATTTCTGTTTTATAAAAGCCCGCTTATTCCTGCTGTGCTCCACAACTGTACCAGCTGGACGCTGTACCAGTTGTAAGTCTTCTCCTAGTTTAAAATTAAGAAAGAAATATCGCTTCCAAAATAATTATCTGTGCAAAGGGTGGGCAGTGATGTAGTGTATTTGAGTTCTGTAGATGACCAGCCTGCATCATGTCAGGCTGGGTCAAGGGAACGGGCCGGATCCTTTCCATCTTCCAGGGACGCCTGAAAGTAAAAGTAAAATGAAACAGGACAGGAGAAAAACGTGATAAAATGGGCTTCGTTTAGTTTACATGTGCTGCCGGGTATTCACAGGCTGTACTCCCGATTCTCTTGGAAAAGCCGACATTCTTGTCTGTCTGTCTTTGTGCTCCCGTTAAAATACAGAATTAGTGTGTGGTTCGCCAGAATGGATGGGCTACTCAGTTAATTTCCCTTTAACTCATTTGTTTCCCTGAACTCAATGCTAACCCTCCAAATACCTGTTTTTAGAGAAAATTCTGAGTTGTTCATAGATTGGTAAATCAGTTGCATGCTTTTTCCTTTCCAAGGGAATACCATTTTGGGGGGATGTTTTTGTTGCTAACCCCTACATCTCCCCAGAAGAAATCCACGATTGTAGAATGGGTAAAATCAGTAATTTTTGCTGGTAGTGGAAAGGCTGTAATAGAGGTTGGGGTAATTTCTCTATTTACTTATTTAAATTCTCTATACTGTCTTTTTCCCTGAGACTTGAGAAGGAAAACTGGCTTCAACCTTAAAAGTTAACATTACAAATATTTTAACAGACTAATGTATACTGTCCTTTATATGTAGTCCTTCTCGACTTTTTGTCTCTTTATGGAGAAAATGGAAGTGGTGGTCCTTCCACATGGTGAATGGCCTTCCTAGGTTACTCCTGGGGTGAACGGCTTTTCTGGCCACCAAGCCCGCCAGACCCTAGGGTCTCTCCCGTTTCAGCCTCAGAACACAGGTGTGCAAACGTCTGTATTCATAAGGACGTTTGCACATGTGACTTCAGACACGT